TAAGGTTTTTAGTCTTCGAGAGCTAACTATGGCCATCGAGGACTACGAAGCGTCCCGTGGCTGTTTTTAGCATGATAACAAGTAAAGCATTCGAGGAAACGTTCGTTTATTTGAATGTCCGTCGAGCCACTGGAGCGCTAATGAGAGAGAAGCGCTCCAGTTAGCGTAAGGTTTTTAGCCTTCGAGAGCTAACTATGGCCATCGAGGACTACGAAGCGTCCCGTGGGTGTTTTTAGCATGATAAAAAGTAATACTTTACTTTTTATCATGCTAAATGTCCGTCGAGCCATGAGCAATTTACTCTGAGCAGCTAATCGGATGCTACGGATCTAGCTTCAGTATCTACACACATAGACAGTGAGGTCTATCTGGCCTCTTGGCCAATCGGAGGCCAGGATGATGCTCGGTAAGCCAATAGCAGAGCAGCTATGAGTATGTTGAGCCCAGGAAACTCGCAGCTGTGACCGAAATAAACATCGTTCACTATGTAAACCAGTGTGGTGGTTGCTGTTGCCTTTTTTCGAACGAAGCAGTAGAGGTCGCTGTTGGATAAGACTTCGTTGTAGTGAATGTCTTCGCGAGGCTGGAGCAGACAAAATGATTTCGTATAACGCAACAGGGGGTTTTTCGTCGTATGGGGGGCAGGAGAATGGGAATTGTGTTAATGCATGAAGATTTTTTCACATAAGGGGGTATTTTCGCCCATGCAGGTTTCGTTCTAGAGGAGTTTCACTGTATATGGTGAATTTATTTTTTGTTGCAAGCTATTGTCGTCGAAATCAGTAACTATTTCATTCTGTGTAGTGGCTTGCATAGGAATGGATCTGGCTGCTCAGTTCAATTAATGCAACACCTATTGCATTACTTGAAAAAATTAATACTGTAGTGGCATTTTTTCTCAAGAGAACTGATTTACAATACATTGTAAACTGAGTACACAAAGTATCATAAATACACAGAAATATCCATATACAGTAGTTTGACAAACATGAGCTCCAAAGGAGCTCGTCCAGAAAAGGAAGCAGAGCCACTTCGGAACGTGTCAGAGACCACACATGAAGGAACACAGCGGACTCTCAGTGAAAATCAAACAACTAACCAACTTTAGGAAATTGATCTTTGCTGCTATAAAAAGTAAACGGATGTTGAACGATAAAGTGAGCATTAATCAAAGAGAAGGACAAGCAAGCGACAGTGATTTTGACACGCGACGGTAAAACACAGAGCTTGGGTTTCATCCTCCTCTCTTATCTTAACCGTAGCTGAAGACTGCAAAGGAGACAAGTGCCCCGAGGAAGAGGAGGAGCAGGATAAAAGACGAGGTGCTTCTTATCGCACCTGTCAGGACAGTACGACAGTGGGACCAAAGCAGGGAAAGAAAGAGAAAGGCATGGGCAGAAATGGCAAGTATTCTCCAGTGCAAACAAAACAGGAATCAAACGGGAAAGAGGCACCTTCTTCTTGGTTATCTTTGACAAGACAATTAATACGTGAATATAATATTTTTTTAAATTAGTTCTGTACCTCCTGTGTATTGCAAGGAATGCAAATCGTACCACATTTGTCACATATTTCTGATACAGTCATTCAAGAGAACCAATTTGTATGTTTGGCTCTTGGAAAAGGAAATGTTGCCCCCGCCTGGAAATAACGCAGAGGTGCACTTTCCCAAGCCACCGCCCTTCAAACCATCCAACCATCCATCCATCCATTTTCCAATCCACTTGATCCTCACAAGGATCTCGGGTTGCTGGAGCCTATCCCAATTTTCTTCGGGCAGTAGGTGGGAGACACCCTGAACTGGATGCAGGCCAATAGCAGGGCACAGACAAACCACCATCCGCGCTCACACTCACACCGAGGGACAATTTAGAGTGTCCAATCAGCCTGCCATACATTTTTTTTGGAAAGTGAGAGGAAACCGGAGTATCCGGAGAAAACCCATGCAGGCCCGGGAGAACATGCAAACTCCGCAAAGGATGGGGGTACACGGGGGCATGTGTTTACTGATTTCATAGTGTCGTGCTCAAGATGGCCAACACAGCAGACATAGCCACATCGCTACCTGAAATCGCGACTCGATTACTACAAAGAATAATAAGAAGAAATCTCAGAACTACATTGCAATTGCAAACTCTTTGTCATGTTTTTTCTTCACCTGGAACTGAGGCCTTTGGCAAGGTGGAAGGAATTGTAAAGAGTTCCAAACACCTCTTCTGCTCGAGAAAAAAAACAAGTCAGGAAAAGCCAACTACATTTATTTGGGGGTAATCAGAAGCACTTTAAATTGTGGCAGGTGTGTGCTGTCCTTCCGGGTGACACGAGTTCGAATGTGATTGGTTGACTACACACTTGTGCAAAGGAATTTTTTTTCAGTTGTTTATTTTTTTTCCCCTTGAGAAGATATATTTTTTTCCAATTGAGTTGTAGTGGTTAGTGGTCAAATAGTGGGACATGTTTTGAAATGATTTATCTTAGTCTTTTTTTTTTTTTTTAAATCTTGAAAACTTAGCATTTGAACAGGGGTGCGTGTAGACCGAATACTCACTGCATGTGTATACATGGCTGAAGTGAAGAATATGGATTACCGGTAGTTTATTTAAATAAAACAAACAAGGCTGCAAGTGAAAGAGACTAACCCGCTCCTGTCCTGCCGTGTCCCAAATGAGGAACTTGTGCAGCTCGTTTTGGTATTGCACCGTCTTGGTCATAAAAGATGCTCTGGTGATACATGACAAAACACAGAGAAGAAAACATATGTATGACTATGCTTTTTTATGATTACAGTCATACTTTTATCAGGAAAGAAACTGTTGGATGATTCAAAACAGATTCTTCATGACAAGGTGCAGGCCAATCATTGACGAAAGGTAAAATAAGTATCAATCACGATCATAAATATAATTCATGAGAGGTACGTTACACACATGTACTGCGCTATGTACTACGGTGCAACTTACCCAATAGTTGGGTTGATGTTTGGATCAAAGCTGTCCTCCACAAATCTCCAGACGATACTTGACTTGCCAACACCAGTTTCCTACAGAAAAACCAAACACAAAAAGTAGAATGTGACACAAAATAAAATAACAAAAAAATAAATAAATACAAAATTGTATATGTGTGTATGTATGTGTGTGTATATATATATATAGAGAGAGAGAGAGAGAGAGAGAGAGAGAGAGAGAGAGAGAGAGAGAGAGAGAGAGAGAGAGAGAGAGCATTTCTGTTTTCTGTTGTCTCTTATCCAAGGCATTTCAAAACGTTTTATTCTGTTAGGTCACTGTGGTCTGCTGACCTCCTTTACATAATGTCTTTCGCACAAGATTAAAAAAACAGTAATAGAGCCTTGCAGTTGATTACTCCCAAAATGTGGAATGCACTTCCATTTGAGCAAAGAGCTGCCTTTTTCGCTTTTTAAAAAGCAGTTAAAGACACGTTTGTTTTCAGTAGACATTGCAGTCAGACGTGACTGTCATGGTTTGTATTTTACTCAGATTAACTGTCGAATGCTTGTGATTTTATCCATAGGCACCTACATTTTATGCCATCAATATTTGGGTTAAAGTAAAAAATCTGCCTTCTGAAACGTTCCCAATGACCTGTTGACGTGTGTGAGCAAACAAAGATACTCCTGAATACTGCACATAGTAATTGTGATCAACTGAAATACACCACCATCTAAACCACGATGCAGGCACAACATCATGACTTCCACTTTTTATTTCCTACCATAAAAGACACTCTATTCATATCATTCACTACAGTAATAAAGTACCACACCTCCACTTGTGTATTTCCAGTGGGTTGTGTGCCAGATGTCGTGAATACAAGTAATTCCTGTACTCAAAAGACCGAGATTCCTTGTAGACAGAGCATACGCAGAACACAAAACAAAGTTCCTTTCAGTTGAGATATTCCAACATGCATTACACGACCAAATATTCAGGTGAAAAAAGGAAGAACCCAGGGGTCTGCGGATATTTAAAAACCCAAATATGAGCTTCTTAGAGTTTTTGTGGTTACTCACATGACCTTGTGCAACCGGAATATTACTAATATTCTGGTTTTGAAAGGGTTATTGACTGCATGTACGCTGAGTCCATATGAAGCACCTTGTGAGTCCTCTCTGTGCGACGTAGAAATACAATTTATTTACAGTGGTGGACAGCAACAAAAAACTAGAAATACTTTGTTACTGTATTTTAGAATTGTTTTCAGATATATGTGGGATACTTGATTAGCCGACTTAATTACGGATCAGGACTTGATATCAACATATACTAAAAATTAAGTTACTTCGTTACTTTTTTACTTGATTTTATATTTTTAGGATCTTACTTTTTATGTGTAACAAGTACCTGCCCATCTCTACTTGCTTACTGTTAAGAAATGCAAACAGATGCTGAGCTAAGATGAGCTCAACTTGGAAGATTCTTGTAGTAAAGTTTAACGGGAAGGTAAGAATCTACAAATAGCATAAGAGCTAATTCGCTATCTCCTGTGCTTTGCCACTTTTGTAACTTTAAAATACTCACATTTATAACACATCTCTCCAATTAGATCGCAATTGCATCGAGCTACTAAGATTTGCATAACCTGATGAAGTCCATGTAATGATACATGTACAACAACAAATGGAAACAGTGTAGCGTTGATTAAAAAAAATAGCTGCTCACTTACCCCCAGAAGACAAACTTTTAACTCTCTTAACGCCATGGCTGCTTCCTGGTTTACATTGACTTGATCTTCATTGGCACTTTTGTTTTTCCCCCACTTCTCCTCCTTTAGCGAACTTCTCTTCAATATTTTTCAAGGGCGACACCTGTTCACTTTTTCGGGGGTGGGGGTGGTCACAAGTAAAGAAGTAACTGAGAGTTAGTTAAAGGTCCTTGTTCGCCATGGTGATATAATAATTGTGAAAAGCAGGTAAGCTAAAAAGCGAAAGTGGCACATCACACAACAGTCTCCATCTTGGAACCAGGGAGCGCGGTCACGTGACTCCGCCTGCTATTTTTTTTTTTCCCGTGCGTCTTTAGTCGGGCTGAGATCCCCACGAACACAAAAGCCCCCAACCCTCCCCTCCGCGTTCAGCTCCGAGTTATGTCGACTTTGCACCCAAGCTGATTATCACAATCTGTGTTCAAACGACCAACATCGATCGACCGCAGGAAGTACATTCAGGAAGTGCTTTTTCTTTTTTTTTGTATTTTTTTTGAGTGACAGCTGAGCGCCTGGTGACAGCCCACACGGGACGGCAGCCCGCAGAGCCGAGCCGAGCCTCAACATGGCAGGTAATGGACCACTGTGGATATCGATGCCTTGTGTGTATTTGCTTTTTAACGCTACGATTTGGTGACTAAAAATGGCTGAATTCCGATTGCTTGCGGTGTGCTTCCGGGAAGGAAAAAAAAGTGCTGAGTGAAAAGGCTGGATCGAATACTGTTAGCAAACTTAGCAACAATTGTAGCCAATCGGCTAACAAAAGCTGACCGAGGATGTCGAAATGACTCACTTTATGGAGGCATGCATCACCACAACTAATTCGTACATACCGATATCCATGTAAAATAACACTAACTAATAAATTCGCTTGTCTCTAATGCATTTAACAGCCATTTGTTGCCATAGCAGAGGCTAGCGTGTTGACCTAGCTAACGTTAGCTTGAATGCTAAAGTCATTTTCAGCCAATAAGATGACCAAAATACACCAATGTGCCCCGTACCAAGGCAAAATACTTTATGTCCTTATTTATTTTACCGGTATTTTCTGTGAGTTTAACAAACAAAACACACCGAGTGTCAAGACCCCTAATGCGGTGTTTCCCCGCGTATAAATACCGAATCTTGTACGAGTTGTTTTTTTATTCGAAGCACATTCCCTGCGATGACCAGCTGTAAACATGTTTCTTGACACCCTCTGGTCTCTTCCATCAGAAATCGCGCATGTGTCAAATCACGCAATGAATGAACAAATGTTTTTTTAGGTTTTGCTTAGCTTAGTCATTTATTTTAATTCAATTTTAAAGCTGTATTCGGTTGTTCGTATTTTTAATATGGGTGTATTTGTGTGAGTATTGTTAGTGTGACAACTTAATCTCCCTCACGGGTATGCAATGGATCTCTCTCTCTCTCTCTCTCTCTCTCTCTCTCTCTCTCTCTCTCTCTCTCCCTCTATCTTTTCGTTTCATCGAGACCGTATTTAAAATGCACTAAAATTAGGCAGGAAATTTATTCCTAAAAAGTTGACTCAATATTGTTGAAAGCCTATGTAATTTTGTGTGCAGTTTGAACATGTCTAATATGGCAAAAATAAACACTGGTCGTGAAAAAGATCAAGTTAAAATGTATCCCACCCAAGTTAAATACAAATTGTGCCTGAATAAACACTTGAAAAGATTAAATGTGACTGCTATAGTACTTAAAAGTCAAATACAACTGAACTATACAAACATAGTGTATTGCATTAAATAAATTAACTCACAGTAACATACACAGTTTGGCTATTTATTTATGTGATTCTTCACATACTTTTAGAGGGACCCTGCGCACAACTCGAGATCCCATACAACACTTTGAGAATCACTCATCTTTTCAATCAAATCGATCTTTCAAAAGCTCATTCATACTCGTCAAATCCATTGCGATTGTTTTGTGAGTATGTGAGTTCGATAGCTTTCACACCAAATGAATATTTCAGCAGGCTGCGCCGCCATGTGTCATGATCACAGACTGGCTGACAGTGTTATTTTAAACCAGTTAATTAGGCAGAATTGGAGGCCATCTCGTAGTGTGACGAACATTCCAAGTCATGTACCTCACGCACTCGTATACAAGACTTCTGCTGTGGTAACGTCAACAAAACTGTTATATTTATGTAAAGCACTGGATTAAAATAGTTAGTGATGGAGTTTATATTGAGATCCAAAGCAAATTCATTTTAATACGTATTCATTTGGACACTTTTGGATGATAAACAATGGCACGAGTCAGATAGACCCAGGAATCCTATTGCTGTTACAGAGAAACGACTGTAACCGGAGGGTAAAGTTCACCATTTCCCCTCTCATAAATGAATAATATGGTAAAAGTATTATTCGTACTGCTTCATTTCCTCTGAGTAATTTATTTGTCTCTCATTTGGGCTGGATCAATTGAAAAAGTCATTTCATTTTCTCCCCAGTTTGATCCGAAGTGTATCAGCTTCGAAGTGTATCAATTGTCAATGTGAAATTTTCTTTTCTGTATTTTATATTTATGACTGTATTCCATAACTCTATAACGAGAGATAGAGTGAGAGATTTTTTTTTTTTTAATTTACAAAAATCACTTATTCCCGCTTGCCTGTTGCTCTGATTTCCACCTGTTACCTAAGTTTGTGTTTTGAAAAAAGAAAAGAAAACGGGCTCCTCCCAGCTGCCAACACTGTCTTTATGTCTGTAAGGCTTTGTGGATGTGCTTATCGACTGGACGTCTTGCATCTCTTGTGTCATGTAGATGCTGAACTTTTCAATTAAACACCATATGAACAATTCCAAATCCTTCCGGTTCGAATTTGGACATTTGGGAAATGCCATTTTGGTTTAGGAATTGTTTACTGCCTCGTACCCCGACAATTTCATTTGCATTCACAAAGTAATGCTTTTGTACGTTGATTCGCCCTTGCCTTCTCTCACTTTTGTGCGATGATTTCCCTCTTCACATGTTTTATCTTTGCAGGTCTATCTTTATACTTCGAAGATGGCCATGACGATTTGGACGATTGTGAGTACTTGACATCAGAAAAAAAAGTTGTCGTATTAGAAGAACAAAGTTGTTGGATTCATTCTCTTCACATAAAATGACGATTCCTTGACAAACTATGACTTTATTCCCACACTGTTTTGATTTTTGTTCTCTAAAACATCCGGTGGTGGTTATTCTTGAAATACACATTGTACATTGCAAAATTATTTGGGGAAATTCCAAGCTTTTTTTTTTCCCTTATAAAATCCCTATTCTCATAATTTCAATTTTATTCTGTCGTATTTTGACTTAATTGTTCTAATTAAATGATTTTAAGTCTCGTAAATGTTTGTTAGGGCCCTTCATACTGTATTGTACAATTTACTTGAGTTGGGGTTCTCCTGTTAAGACAGCGTGATTCTATTTGCGTTATTTTCCAATTTTGTTCTTATAAAAGTTACGTTTTATCTTCTATATGAAAACTTTTTAAAATATATTAAAAAAAATACATATATGGTATATAAAAATGAATTTTTTAACTTCCATCCATCTGAATCGCTTATCCTTATGAGGGTCCGAGGCGTGCTGGAGCCTATCCCAGCTGTCTTCGGGCAGAGGCGGGGTTTGTTCTCTTTTTTTTGTGACTTCATTCTCAAAGTATTGTTCACATTTCTTAGGGGCCGCTTTAATTTTTTTTTTTACAAATTTGTAGACTGGCTGTCCATCAATCCATTCTTGAGATTGTCTCGCTTTGTTCTTCTGGTATTACTGAACAATTTCATTGTTTTTCAAGGTTTATGACAAGCAGCTCCTCAGACTGTTGTCGGCCATCACCGGCTTTGTGAAACAAAATGAAATCCAGTTGGACTGTAAACTGGACTGTCGTGCTCATTGGCGCTAAAGGAGCGACTCCTGTCTATCTTGCAGTTGGATTTGATGACTACGGTTCAGAGTGTGACAGCATCCGCATCACGGCCTTCCTCGACGCAGGCCAGGACAACCTGACTCCACTTGGGAGGCTAGAGAAGTACGCCTTCAGTGAAAATGTCTTTAACAGGTAAAGAGTTTGGAGACGAGAACAAAAAAAAAAAAACATTTCCATCATCAGATAATCCCAGCATTGTGTAAAACATCTGACGACAGCTCAAAAAATTGTTGCAGCTCTGCTGACATTTTTTGGCTTTGATTCAGTGCTTTGCCTCTCTGTGGTGAACTGCAAATGGGTTTTTTTGTGTTTGTTTGTTTGTTTTTTTGCCAGTTTATTAGTTGTTTATACTGCTCCTCCACTATTTGTGGGGCATTGTGACCAAACCCTGCCAAGATTAGTAAAAATCCATGAAAAATTGGTATCACCCCAAAAGGTTTACAAACAAAAATCTGTCAATGTAAGATTAGTGAATAGCGAAAATGAGACGTAACTCTGTAATTTCTCCCTTGATGGGTGGCACCTCAAAGCACGAATGAAACTGTACGCAAATGAAATGACACATTTTTTAACTATTGCACTCTGCGTGTACAAAATAACACATTAAAGAGGCATTAAAAAGTAGTTAAATGCGCCAATTGTGACCACAGAAAAGCATGCCAGTAAATGCCGCCGCCTCCTCCAATTCCATAACTGCTGATGGCACACGAACTACAAAACCCAGAATGCGATAGCCGGCCTGCAATCATTCCGGACCGCTGTCTTCATGCTGCTCTAACACATGTATCTTTGGAAGCATCAGTGTGAGCAGCTGTTGGCTAAGATGAACATTATAGCACCGCAGGGAGTTGCAATGGACTTCTCAGCATGCCTAGTGGCATTTTTAAAATAGTTGTTCAGATTCATGTGTTGATACTGGACATGTTCTTTTGTCATCTCCTGTTTTGAGCGAGGTGTTTTGTTTCGTGACCACCTGGCGGATTCAATTGCAATTTAGTCGTCTTGCCCATATAAGGAGCCTTATGTGGAGCAAACTATTTGAAGTTATTGTAAATTGATTTTGATTTATTTTGGGGAAGATTATACTATCCTGTCTGGTTTTAAATCGCGTAACGTTCAAGAGGATTCAGTTTTGGTTCCCAAATGTCGTACGTGTTTGGCTCGCTACCTAAAGCGCGCTTTGAGTTTTGACGGCCCTGCTGTAGGAAATGGCATCATCGTCAGTGTGCTGATTGCAAAGTGGTGCCACATCTGGCAGGAAATATGATAAAAAGTCAGAGCCTTCATGCGAACTTGTCAGCTCACTCTTCCGTGTCAAACTGCATCATGGTTGTTATACTTGTTTGTGGATTGTGACATGGCACATGTTGTCTTTGATGGACACTAAGAGAAAAGTTTCCATTTGATCAAAACCTTTTGGATGTGGAATTTAATTGAGATGTTTACCTTGGGTTGACGGTGCGAATGAGAGAGACTTAATGGTTCTCACAAATTGGCAGCAACTATTGCTCCCTCAATAATGGTCCACAATCATTCATTCAAAATAAATGCAACTCAGCTCGTGAATGATTCACAAATAGATTAATTTTCCTCAATGATCGCTCGGTGACGTTTCCTCAAGTGCTCATCCTGAGTTTTGTAACACGGCGTCCAAGTCTTCTCTGCTTGTGACGCCTAAGTGAATTTCTGCATTCCAGGGTGAGTGCTCATCACATACTTGTACAAGCTTCACACAATAAGCAGAGTATTGACAGAAGATTGAGGTTAGTTCCAGTCTGAATGTGGGTTCACAGGTACAACAATAGCCACCATTTGTTATTTACTTATTCACGTCCTGCAGGTTAGAGAAAACAAAGCCCACAGGAACGACTTTTGTTCTTTGCATAAACTTTTAGCTGTTCGCAACCAGCTTCTCAATGCTTGACTATTTGATTTCGCAATAAGTGTGCGCAATGGACTTCACCGTGTGAACACTGCCTTGCTCTCACAAGGTGTCGGCGGGTTAACTAACCCGACGCTCCTTTTGCATTTTAGACAGATCGTGGCCCGCGGGCTGCTCGATGTGCTCCGTGAGTTCAGCGATAACGAAAATGACTTCATCAGTGTCATGGAGACAGTTGCCAGAATGTCAGAAGATGGAGGTAGATACCTTTTCCCTCGTATATACTAGCTGGTTTCAGTATATCACTAGACATGCCGTTTGGAGCTTAAAGTGCAAGCCTCATACGTAGACAGTAATGCATGCGTGTGTCTTGTCAGAGCCGACCGTGCGAGCCGAGCTGATGGAGCAGGTCCCAAACATCGCAATGTTCTTACACGAAAGTCGGCCCATCTTCCCCGCCGCTTTCTCCAGATACTTGGTACCCATCGTAGTCCGATATCTCACCGATCCCAACAACCAGGTAGGATTCCAAACGATTGTTTCCCCTGATGTCTCAAGAAACCGTTCAAACGCTATTGTTGTGTACTTTATCTTCCAGGTGCGAAAGACCAGCCAGGCGGCACTACTGGTGCTGCTGGAGCCGGGCCTCATCTCAAAGGCCGACATGGAGTCCAAAGTTTGTCCGGTTCTGCTGGACCTCACAGAACCCAGCAGCGACGACGATTACAAGATTGAGGCGGTTGCTGTGAGTAATTTGAACACAATCGTGTCCCACAGAGGCTTTTATGTTTCCGAATTCACAGTATATCACTACAAGGTCGACCATAGTCAGATTGAGGATGCTCACGGATCACATTTCTCCAACTTCTCCAAGAGTGATTGGAATCAGGAGTCAGTCTAATCAATGTGGTGGTGATTGGAGCATCTCGTTAAAACTGGCCCACCTTTTTTTTTTTTTAGCCTGCACACATATTGTGCTCAGTAAAAACTTTTTAAATATTATTGCTTACGTGGTAATAGTTGAAGAAAATTGTTTGTCTATTGCTTACAACTTAATTGAAGGTCAGATCGAGGACTGCTGCCAGCAATTATTTTTAGAATAGATTTTTATCCCGATCATCCCACCGATGAATCGAGCAGTTGGATACAGATTGATTTTGCATGATTAAAAAAACAAATTGTGCAGGTAGAATTGTTATCCACGTAGGGTCGCCATCATCACGTTCCACACTAATGTCTGTGACTTTGAGTGTGTGTGGCTTTAAAGGATGGGGCCTGACCTGTTAAGTGACGTGGGAATCAGCAAATGTGTGCATGCAATTGGCTGTTGCGAGCTCAGCTTCGCTGTTACATTAACGGGCTGTTAAACCGTCTGCACTTTTGAGTGGCTTTTCTTGCGACTGTATGTAAGACGAGCTTTTAACTGTTCATTTAGCCTATGCACACACAAAAGCAGGCCTTGTTTTCATATGGCTTCTGGGTTACCTCTGGCATTTTCTGTGGGTCATGTTTTTCGTGGCTGTGCTCTTCCCTCATCCATTCCCCTCAAAAACATTTCTACTGGGAACGCCTCAGCACATCTTGAGCCGTGTTGCACCTTTGCGTCTGTGTTCAGATCATGTGTAAAGTGGTGACCATGCTGAGCAAAGACACGGTGGAGCATCTCTTACTGCCACGATTCTGCGACTTGTGTAGCGACGCCAGACTCTTTCAAGTGCGCAAGGTAATGCATTTTGCTTTTTCTATTTTACTTTGGGATTCTATATATATGCAGTTATGGTGTGTGGCCATTTAGGAAGAATTTTTGCAAGTCAGACTTATTTCAGTTTTGCGCATCAGATGGAGGCGCAAAGTCCTGTGGAATGTTTATTCCCCAATGACAGGTGCCAATTTTGAAAGGATACAAATGCAAATGTTAATGTTTTTTTTTTTTTCAACCTCTTATATTCTAGGTCTGCGCAGCCAATTTTGGAGAGTTCTGTTCAATTGTGGGTCAGGAGGCCACAGAAAAACTACTGGTAAGGACTTTTAAAACAATTTTTCCCGCCCCCCAATGTTACTCTTCCGATTTTGTGCGTTTATCTTGGGCCATTGTAGACAGAGTGGCCTTTTCAAAAGGAGTCATACAATGCAGTTTTTTTTTTAAATCAAATCAATTGCAAGGTCGTTTAATCACATGTCTCTGACATGTTTTGTCAAAATACCCACTGACAAGACCAGCTTTGTTTACTACGACGAACCTTGCTAAAGCAGAGCATAATGTTTTAAAAGAAAATGCCCATATAGAAAATCAAAGCATTTTCACACATGGAGGCAGCAGCTCCCACATGACTGTTTACCAAACCAAATTGTGCTGTATTATATTACGTAAATTAGCCTGTGTAATAGTTGCGCAGAATTGCTCAGCTTCTGCCTATTTTCAGAAACGGGCAGATATTTACCTTGCTGGTTTAGTTTCGCACTTGATTGCTGGCAGAGACCAAATGATTTGTATACAAGCCCCCTTAAAAACAATTCTCTTGACTGCTTTTAACATAGATTCCCAAGTTCTTCGACCTGTGCTCAGACAGCCTGTGGGGCATCAGGAAAGCCTGCGCCGAGTGCTTCATGATGGTCTCAAATTCGACGTCACCTGAGGTGCGACGTGCAAAGTTGTCCCCGCTCTTCATCAGCCTCATCAGCGACCAGTCCCGCTGGGTAAGACGATCACACATCAAACGTATACTACTGTTGCCACCAGTGCTTGAAGTTAGCTTGTCAAGACGATTTTAATGATATAGCGCCAATCCACAGTAAGTTCTTTTTAAGGCACTTTACACATTGAGCAAATCGAAAAACACGCTCCTCTATGTGTATATATAAGAAAACCAACTCCTTCAATGGAGCAACTCTATTTAATTCCCACAATTTCACCCATTTTAGGTCATAAAAATGTGCATTCAAGCAAAATAGCGAACAAAACGTTCTTGCAATATTTTATTTAGGTGCGGCAGGCTGCCTTTCAGTCTCTGGGCCGTTTCATCTCCACCTTCGCCAACCCAACAAGCGCAGGCCTCCACTTCAGAGAGGACGGCGGGCTACTCGATGTTACCAGGTGCACGTCAGACAGGTAAAGAAGGGAACACACATTACAATTTTTAACCACTGAACCTCTCACATGACAAGAAACCACTCACCATGTATGTCCTTACTGCTCTTGTATGGTGTACTTGAGATGAGCAACGTAGTACCACAACTGACCTGTGAGAGGCAGCACTGTACCACAGGGCAGTCAGGCTGTTGGAAAATACAAAAAAGAAAGTAGCTAGGTTTAATATTAACTTACCTGGTTACTATATTTTGGTTCCAAACCCACAAACATTTTTATCACGGTGAATGACTTGTGAGACCCATTAAACAAACAGTCAACACAACCAGTTGCAACTCAATTTGTGTCCAGCAGAGGCACGAGTTTTTGTTTTCTGGTATTTTCCTGATTAGCTCTCAATACGTTTCAGTCGCACTTAGCGAGTACGTGCCTTGGCCGACCTCTGTTGACCACACACGTTAGGATTTGCGATTGTAAATATTGAACAGGTTTAACATATTGCGAATTTAAAGCCTGACTGTTTTGCGAGCAGATAGGGCAAGGAAAAAATATATACTTAACATACCAAATACCAGAGGATAATTGGTCACAATAATCTTTCAGAGACATTCAATAGCTAAGCCTTTGTTGACTGTGAAAGAAAAGGAGGGAAAATGCTCCAATTTGGCCCAATTGTTAGCATACGTGAACCCCACACAAGACAGCGTGGTGCTCTTATGTCAATTTAAAAAAATAGTCAAAACATTTCAAAAATTGGCAAATTATTCAGGAAAACAAATGTGTTGGTAACTGATCCTTGAATGCATCCTACGCTTGAGAACCGGATAAGTCAGATCATTTCCACCCCATTTCCTGCATTAGACAGATTGATGTTGGGAAGCTTTTAGCATCCATGTGTTTGTCATTCTAGTGACTGCTCCTTGAACTCCCTCAATTGCGCCGACATCAGCGGCCGCCGCACGGAACGAACGATCGCTCACACGCCTCCCAACCAAGATGGCCGTGCCACGCCGTCGCCGGAGCACGTGCCGGCGGCCGAGGAGATGAACTACGACGACAATGGCCACAGCTTTGCTCACGGAGAGTCGCTCGACAACTTGTCGCATGCCGGCAACAACGCCAGGAATGCCAAAGACACCACACAGGCAGATGAGAACTTTAACTCCTTCCATTTTTGGAGGCCTCCTCTACCAGACATCAGCGGCGAACTGGAATTGCTTAGCTGTCAAATGGGAGACATGATTGAGAAGAAGAAGAAGAAGAAGGAGGAGTCAAAAGAAGCAGAAGATTTCCAAAGTCTTCCCGATTCCAAGACCAACCCTGGTAAAACTACCAGCGACCAGATCCAGATGGTCTTAGACTGTTTGCAGCCGCACATGGACGACCCGGATGTCCAAGGTGAGTGAGCACACAACATGTGGAACTACGATACATTATCAGTGTCCGGCATTTGAGTGGCGGCCCTGTGGGGCCACTATGAACCGAGTAGTGGTGGCCCTGTTGAAACAGTACTGGCCCTGTATATTCCGGATTTAATGTAATCAGCTTCACTGAGGAATGTGGGAAAACTGCTTTGGGGCAGCTTTGTGTCGCCATGCCGACTGAGCTCTGCCGTTCTCCCCTAGCTCAAGTTCAGGTATTGTCTGCGGCTCTGAAGGCTGCTCAGCTCGACAGCCCGTCCGACGACAGTCCCACGGAAAGCCAGCCGGTCGACTCACCCGCCGACGCTGACGCAGACAGCCCGCTTGTTGAAAGCAAATCGGTGGAGGTTCAGTCCGAGGCCGACGAGATTCTTGCCGAGGAGGAGCAAGCGACTGAAAGCCACCCGGTCACTGAAACGTGTCCGGTCCAAGAGCAAGGAGACGTGGAGACACAGACGGAACCCCCGGAGGATGCGGAAGAGTCTCCACTTGACTCCCCGGTTCTGGTATGAAGTCCTTTAAGATGAACTTCTAAATGTAAAGACTTGGCGTTATCCCTGTTGGTTTTACAACATAGTGTTGTGCTTCAGGTCTCTGAACTAATTGAAAGTGTGGAGGAAGAGGGCAAAGATGATTTGGTGTGTAAAGATAAGCCTAAAGTCCAGGTCGGTGCTTCCGCCTCTTATCATTTCACGGTGATTGGTAATCACTGCTCTAACTGATCCGGAAAACTTGCTGTCTCGTCTTGCTGGCCTGCAGAATGTTATCCCCCAGCAGCTGTTGGATCAGTACCTCTCCATGACGGACCCGGCGCGGGCTCAGACGGTGGACACGGAGATCGCCAAGCACTGTGCCTTCAGCCTGCCGGGCGTGGCCCTCACTCTGGGTCGACAGAACTGGCACTGCCTCAAGGACACCTACGAAACGCTGGCCACTGATGTCCAGGTAGGAGTCAAACCACTTTTAGCCCTCGCAAGAAGACAAGGCAAGGCAGCTTCATTTCTATTGCATATTTCATACACAAGGCAACTCAATGTGCTGCACTAAAGCCAAGAAACCTCTCCAAGCATAACCAAAAACGTGCAGAACATGGCATTCAGAAGCAATGAAGAAAAAAAACAAGTCGCTTTCAAAAATTATAAAAGAGTGTTCATTGACAACATTTAAACACATTGACAGACAAAAAATTACGAACAAATTGGTGAACGTCTCTAACTATTTGCAACCTTGAATGAACCTTGACAAAAAAAAAAAAATCAACATTCAGTACATTTGCAAACATTCGCCACTCAGTCGGATAAGGGCGTCACGATACAGGCAGCAAGCTAAATGGTAAGTGAGCAGGCTCTCTTGGCTGCAAAATCAATGGTAAACGGGCTGTCCGTGTAGGTCGCAAATAAAATGGTAAATAGTCGGCCCTTGATGAGTGCTAGCGTGAAGAGAAACGGGCCGCCTTCGTAGGCAGCAACCGCAAAAGGTAAATGCGGGCGGGGCTCCTATAAGCAGTCAACTAAATAGTAAAATGGATAGTCCGCTCGGGTAGAAACCTAAAATGGTCATCTTGGCAACCTGTTTCGGCAGCAAGTGAAATGCTAAATGGGCAGCGCGCTTCAGTAGCAGACTAAAAAGGAAAATGGGACCCCATCTCGGCAGTAAACTAAATGGCAAATGGGGAGCCAGTTAAATGTGAAATAGGCGGCCAACTATCGGGTATATGTGCCGTGTTAAGACGGCAAAATAAATGCTAAATAGCTACCCCATCCAGGCAGCAAGATAAATTGACTGCCTGATTTAACAGCAAATTCAATGGGAAATGGACAGCCAGTTGGCGAAGCAAACTCATGATCCATTTTGTTCTTCCTCCTTAAAATTCAGTCCTATTTTTTTATGTTCAAAATGAATTAGTTGCTCAAAGAATATGATTCCATTATACAGTAACTGTGGACTTCAGTTTTATCGTTTAACGCAATGTTGGTGGTCTTTTGGAGGATTTTCTTGCCGCAAAGTCCAGATGATTTGGTTCGAGCGCTCTGCCTTTTATACTGGATGATTTCCAAGTAACTTGTGCGTCTGCCTCCCCCCACGCAGTGGAAAGTGCGCCGCACGCTGGCTTTCTCCATCCACGAACTGGCGGTCATCCTGGGCGACCAGCTGACGGCGGCGGATCTGGTTCCCATCTTTAACGGCTTCCTCAAGGACCTGGATGAAGTCCGCATCGGTGTCCTCAAGCACCTCTACGACTTCCTCAAGGTATGACTGGAGCCCTCTGCTCTTCCCGTTGTCAATGCAACAAAGGACTATGGCGACATTTGTTAGCGAGTTGCTTTATAGTCCCACGCTGACGCATTAACTGGTGTTTAAGGTGAATACAAGTTTTGAAATGTTTATCTGTGTGACCTCTTTCTTAGCAAAATATTCCATGTTATAACATGGAGGCCCGCGGCTAATAAAGCGACGTGGCGAATAAAAATATATGTAGCTCTTGCGGCTTTGTTTTCTGGAAATTACGGTACGATTCTGTATCTTTTTTTTTTTTTTTTTTTGCCCCTCACACAACTCAACTAAAGTTCTCGGAAAGCTGACTTTAGAGAAACTACTTTTTCCCCTTGCCTTATTTTATATTATCGCTGGTCAATGTCCACGAGGCAAACAAACAGACAAACCTGTTTTCTGAAGCTTAGCCATGATTGGGCAATACATGAGCCCTGAACAACTGTGATGTCAGCTAGTGGCAAAATGACCGACCCTGAGATTGACAAAAACAGGAGGGTTTTCCTGCTTCACTCATATTGCACAATCACATTATTAATCAAGATGCTCTGTTTCAAAAACACATCACCAGAACAGTTAAATTTTGCCGTTCCAGTATAAACTTCATTTTCTTTTACAAGAAAATGATCTAACACCAGAAAAACTACATCGGCAGCCCAGTTAGTGAGCCAAATTAATTGTCGATAGGCAGCTTGTTCAGGCAGCTTATGGCCACGAAATAAATGATAAGTGGGCAGCTTGTCCAGGCATCAAGCTATTGTCAGTGGTGAAACAAATTAAGACTCATTCACTTGTGTTATCTAATCTAATCTATTAAACTGAAAAAAAAAAAACCTCACCAGATTTGTCTATGCACGCATTGTCATTGTTACTATTTTGTGTTTTCAGCTGTCTTCTATTCAGAATTATTGCGCCGGCTGTTGCCTCGGTCCCCACTTGACAGGCTGTCAAAGTTTTCCCATGTGAAGAGACGTGTTGATGTTGTGGTTACAGTTGCTTAATGCGGACAAGAGGAGAGAATACTTGTACCAGCTCCAGGAGTTCATGGTGACCGACAACAGTCGCAACTGGAGGTTCCGATACGAGCTGGCAGAGTGCGTTTGGCTGACATTTCTAATCCCGTCGTGATGGTTTGTGGAGAATTAACCTCCTTCCTTGCTACGGCTCCCCTTCTAGGCAGCTGATCCTGATCATCGAGTTGTATAGCCACTACGACGTGTACGACTACCTCAGGCAGATCGCACTCACGCTCTGCTCTGACAAGGTCTCGGAAGTCAGGTGGATTTCCTACAAGCTGGTGGGTCACTTATTCGAGCTTAGGCTCGTAACTGTGAAGGTTCTTTGCTCTCGCAGTTTGATTGATGGATAGACCGGGTGAATCCAGACTTCCTTGTATTATAAATAGGACATCATCCTATTCCGCTGTCTTGTGGTCAGGTGGTGGAGATCCTCCAGAAATTGTATTCGAGCGGTGCCGACGATTTGGCCGTGAACTTCATCAGCGTGCTCACTGTCAGGTTCTGCCATTGTCCCAAGTGGGTGGGACGACAAGCCTTCGCCTTCATCTGCCAAGTGAGTGATTTGGCATCAAAAGCGTCTCTGTGTTGAATCCTTCCGCACCTCCTCATGCGTTATATTTGTCACTTGGTTGCATGATTCCAGGCGGTGGTGGAGGAGGACTGCATGCCCATGGATCAGTTCAGCCAGCACCTCCTGCCCAGCCTGCTCAGCCTCTCGTCAGACCCGGTGGCCAACGTGCGCGTGCTGGTGGCCAAGGCCCTGCGACAGAGCGTCATGGAGAAAGGTATGACGCTCAACTGGAACACTGGAAGCTATCGGCACTCTTCTACTTACATTTTGTTCTTGCCGGTTGGATTTTTGTTTGTACATTCATAAAGGTTTCTTAGAATACATTTTGATATACAGTATCTCAAATTGAAGGTGACGTCAGGACTTCAAAATGCGCGTGTATATGTATATAGAACACACATTTACTCAATCCCCATGCACTTCAAAAACAAACAGTCAATGCTGGGAAAAGAAAAATTTGGGCCGCATGACATCACTTCCGGCGCGACTCAGCCGTACGTGGTTTCCAAATTCTAGAAAGACAGTTGGCAGGCAGAGTCCTTCAGAAAGGCTACCTACCCTCATGTAGCCTCCGCGGACTGCATAAAACGTGGCAAATTTGGACAGGCTCAATGTGGATTTGGACACCACGTTCGATCGAATTGTGCCGGAAGTGGCGCCATGCGGCCGAAAATGCGGCCTTCGGAGGACCCAGTTATAAATTTGGACACAGCCACTGTTTACTTATTTTTATTATCAAAGTTGTGGCAGCCTTGACATGCTCTTTTTCACGAGGCCATCCAGTGGTTAACACTAGTATTACACCTTTCAATGGCTCATTCAAACAATCAACCTTTATTTATATCGAATTTTTCACACATAAAAATGCAATTCAAAGTTCTGTACACGCTTTAAAATAGTTCAAACTTACATTAAAAAAAATCTGAATCAGCTCATGTCATGTGAACATTTTTATTTTCAGAAATTAATTGAGGGCCGCTCCAAGTGTGGGCGCATGCAGGTCACCAGTTGCCCATCGTTGCTGTAACATGTCCCAATATCAAATGGAATGAAGGCAGTACTGCAATGTAATACAACACAAACATGTGAATTGTCACTTGTGGTGGTCGTTTGTGAGCTAATGCTGTCGCGGAAAAAATACTCAAGTATGGATTAACTGCTAACTTCCTTCTAATTTAGCACGTTTTAAATTATAGCATGAATGTTAAATACGCAGAAATATTTTTAAAAGCAATGTGCAAATATCATATAGTGCCCAATGATATCTCTAACAAAAATAATAATACCGGAGGTGAGCATTGCAGTAAATTTTGCAGGTTTGTCAATCGTCAGTAGTCGGGCCGTCCATCTGTCATTGCTTCAAGTCCAACCAAAACTCTCAGTCAGTCCGTCACTGTTATTTTAACCACGTTTCCGTCATCGCTAAATTACAGTTGGTCACTTGCTATTTTTGGATCATCATCAAATTTTAGCAATCTACAAGTCCGTCGTTGTCAGTCTGTCACTCCGTCATCAGCGCTAAATCTATCCATGATCTACTGTATACTGGTGAGGTCAGAACGAATGTGAGCTTCCTTTTTCTTTTGTCAAGTTCAAAGTGGAGATTTTGCAGGCTGCAATGTGGACATTTTAAGGCAGACTTTTTGTAGTCTGAAAGGTAAACATGGCTTGAATGTGGTGAGGTGCCCATTCTCGCTCTTCAGAGCTAATGCTAAGATAACTAGCTCTCAATCACCCTCCTGCCCTTGTGTTGTGTTCAGCCTACTTCAAGGAAGCGGGCTGCACCTCGTCGGACGAGCTGGAGGAAACCTTGATGGCGCTCCAGTCAGACAAGGACAGGGACGTGCGCTTCTTCGCCAGCCTGGACCCCAGCAAAAGCCTGACCATGGATACGGCCCCCCTCATCTAGTCCCCGGAACACCCGACCACCCACTCTTTTTACCAGCACACCCAAACCGGACCCCCCTCACCTTGTCCAACCTCACCTTGTGACTGCTAACACAAAAAACACAAGCACACACCCTTCTGTGGTGGGATGCAACACACAAGAGTAGTTTTCAGGAAATGAGCAGGACTCAATTTTTTTTTTTTCCTCCACACTAACAAGCTTGACTCTCCAAAGCTAAGCGTGTGCTTAGCATTGAAGTCTTTTTTTTTTTCTTTTTTGTATTTCTGGGCTCCTTTTTGAGCATCTTAAAGGAAGAGATGGCGTCTGCCTTGACTCTTTGACGCTCGCACTAACTCAGGGGGACTCAAGTTACCCGCCGCCATTTCTGACCCAAACTCCTCATCTTCCACCTCCTCAGTTTACCAAAACAAAATAAAAAAATGTGACATCGACGAAATACCTCCTGGACATGGCTGCCCTCCATCAGGCTAGCCAATAAAAAGCATCCTCACAAGGGCTGGAGCACATTTTAAGCATGCCCCCCCCCCCCACCCTCTTTTT